ACCCACCCCTGGAACAGTTATGCTACTACTTCAATGAAAGCAATTATGGCTTAATTGCCTTGATAGTACAGTGGTTTAAGCACCCTGTTATTAACACAGCTGCCTGCAATTATTTGTTGGTTCGAATCTCTCCAAGGCTCAAGGTTGACTCAGCCTTCCATCCTTTCTAAGGTAGGTGAAATGAGGACCCAGATTGTGGGGGCAATAAGCTGACTTTGTATAAATATACAAAAGTATGAAGGCTATTGCTTAACGTATTGTAAGCCGCCCTGAGTCTCCAAAGAAGGGCGGCATATAAATCAAATTTAAAAAAATAAATAAATAAATATTTTGAACTCAACCTATGAGAGGTTTGGGCTTTTCTGTCATGTTCAGGGAGAGTTACTAAATGTGCCATATTGCTAGCTTTGCAATAAGAACAGGAAAATATGTGTACTCAAGAACTATTATACATCTATTTCATTTGTACAGGTTCTAATAAGCTATGGTTTATTTCTACAAACCAGTCAAGAAAGACGATAGCACTGTGAATTTCTGTCATTGCTAGGACTCATTCCTCTGATAGATTGAATCTCCAGTAATTGAATCATTGGCTATATTATAGATTCAGGTATTTCTTGTAGTCTTAGTATGGGCAATCTGTTTTAAGGGAAGTTGGAAAGTGATGAATCCAAGACCTTTGGAAAGTATGAGCAATAAATTTTCATGTAATGATTCAAAAAATAAAAATAAAAATGCAGGGCCCTGACTTTTTCCCCCCTTAAAACAGTAAGAGGAACTTTAATACTTCATAGTCAAAAAGCCACTTAAGGGTCATTATAAGTGATATTTAAAGTGAGATCAACACAGTGACTCATAAATTCTTAATTTCTGTTAGGATTCTAACTGGTATTGCTTTTGAAGTTCCTTGGATATCATATTAAGCCAAAACTCTCCTGAATTCTACCTTATTATTTATCTTTTGTGGTTTTAATGCTGTAAGCCGCCCAGATGGCAAATACATTTAATAATAAATAAATAAAATTATTCACAAGAAATTTGCTAAACTGCTCTCCTATTGCTTTGGCATAGCCTCATCCACTGGCAACAGCAATGGTATTAATCACAAGTTTTGAAGGCAGAAGCATTTCTTTTATTTCAAAACTAGGTGGCTGGTCACAAGCGAGAATTGAAAGCTGGTTTTACAGAAAGCTGGTTTTACAGATATAATATTCCATCCTTGTCAACTGGTAATTTCAGTTTTGCTTAAACTAGTGTTCTCCAGAAGTATGGTTTCACATTGTCAGGGAATTCTGGGAGTTGTAAGTCTTGACCTATTTGGAGAGTAGTAGTTGTGATCAAAAGACCAATGCTCGCTAGAAGTTTATGTTTTCTCCCTCTGGCAAGAGATGCCAGCTATCCTTAGAAGGCAGTGTTGGCTTTAGAGTTCTTGCCAGCGTTCTCTCAGCAAAACCTGAACTTAAAAAAAACCAAAAAACAGTCTAATGGAAAATTAGTTCCAAGCTATTGGGCTGGAATAAAAGGTAAATATTGACCGTATATCAGCCATACGACAGCTGAATCTTTGAGGCACGATTCCTGACTTCCAAGGCCGCACTGTATTGTATCAGCATCATAGGGCACGAGTATCGGATAATTTCAAGGAATCTACAAAGTCAGTGAATAGGCAACCCAGCCAAGTTGTGGGTTTGCTTTATATTTCTCCCATTTCCTTGAACTCTTGGCAAATTATGTGGAACCCATGAGGAAAAGATTTGCCTTGTTGTGGGAAGATAGCAGACAGACTTTAGATTATCCAGGACCCACTATTACTACTACTGCTATTTTTATTAATTCTAATACTACTACATCATCCACCATCTTACATGGCTCCTGATACCAATAATACAACAATACGTAATTCATTTTCAACTGAATAGAATTCATATGTGAGAACCAGGTCTCACAAGGTCTGAATCGAAGAGTATAGAAATCAGCCAGTCTTACAGGTAGTCCTCAACTTACGACTGCAATTAAACCCAAAATTTCTGTTGCTAAGACATTTGTTAAGTGAATTTTGTAACTTTCTTGCCACAGTTGTTAAATGAATCACTGCAGTTGTTAGGTTGATAACAGAGTTGTTTAGCGAAAGTGGTTCCCCGTTGACTTTGCTTGTCAGAAGTTCACAAAAGTTGATCACGCTGCAACTGTCATAAATAAGAATCAGTTGCTGAGCATTTAAATTTTGCTCATATGACCATGAGGATGCTGCAATGATCGTAAGTGTGAAAAATGGTCTTAAGTCACTTTTTTCAATGCCGTTGTAACTTAGAATTGTCACTAAAAAAATTGTTATAAATCGAGCTCTACCTGTACTAAATCAAGAGACATGGAAACCATCCGTTTTGTGCAAAAGAGAGTGGCTTCCATTCACATAGCATGGAATGAAAGAGCTGTAAAATTTGGAAGAATTGTTTCTTAATGCTTTCATTAGCTTTTCTGCAGTCAGAGTATTTATGTTGTCGAATGCCTGTTTGTGTCAGGCATTGTAATACTTCAATGCAAAAACACTATTTCATATTCATATTTCCCAAAGCTGCTTTTCAGAGCGAGACGGGCAGCATATAAATTTAACAAATAAATGAAATCAGGATCCATTTCCTATAAGAAGCTGTTTGACCTTTGTAATTACCGTAATTCCAAATTCTTATTGTAAAAGTTTCACTATTCCAATGTTACCTGGGCTTTTAGTCCTTTTATAACTTTTTAGAATCAACATCTTATTTAGCTTTTTGCTGTTTATTTCAGATTTTTTAAATACTAAAATTTATGATTACATTCTTCTTTTGTACTGGATTGGAGAATGTTCAGGATCACCTATCATTTTCAAAGTTGCCATTCTGAAGGTGTCTAATAGATGAGACTTAGTTAATGAGCAATTTTCAAAAGTGGTTAGAAAGTGAGGTTGTGAACTTACATCCTTTAGAACAGGAGTCCCTATTGCGGATATGAGGAAGTTCCTGCCGCAATCAGATGAGGCATCCTTGAATCTGTTGGTTGCCATGGTAGTTCAACCACATTAAGTCAGTTGTAGCAAACCAGGTGCAGCAGAGGAATGCTGACACATAATTGAGTGGGAGCAGATGATGGACATCTGTATAAAAGCAGCTCTCTTGCCCCAGGGAACTTAGATTTTGCCAGTGCCATTTCCTACAGCCAAGCTCTCTGCTGATACCAGCTCATTGTGTTTCTTTTCCTTGAGGCACTCTTGATTAAACATTTCAAAAATGAACACAGTCATTTCCTCTGAACATAAATATATTAGGATCCTGCATTTTCTTGGCTTGTGTAAAACTATTTATGTGGACCCTAATGATATATAATGCAAACCTGAGCAAACAAATGATGCCAAGGTTTGCTTGTCATTTATTTCATAAATAAACTAACTTAATGTATGAGGTGCCAGTGTGCATGAACAAGTAATTTATGCAGCAAAATATATCATCTAGGAAATTACAAAGAACCCGAGAACACAACAATGGATAAAAAATGGGACTCATGAGCAGATAGCATGGATGAAGTTATGCCTCTTTAACAACATCAGCATTCATCTTAAATTTGCCAATAGGTCGCAGAATGCCCTTCCAGGCTTCTGAAGAATGTTCTAAGTAGATGAGTAGACATGGAACTTCTTGCATTAGATAGTAAAAGGTAAAGGTTTCCCTGTTCAGTCGTGTCTGACTGTAGGGCATGGTGCTCATCTCCGGTTTTTGGCCGAGGGAGTTTGCGTTATCCGAAGATATTTTCCATGGTCATGTGCCCTGCATGGCTGTATGCCAAAGGGCATGGAACCAGTGGTGGGATTCAGCCAGTTCGCACCACTTCAGGAGAACCGGTTGTTAAGTTCCTGAGCAGTTTGGTGAACTGGCTGTTGGAAGAAATCATGAGGGCAGAGAACCGGTTGTTAAATTATTTGAATTCCACCACTGCATGGAACACTGTTACCTTCCCACCAAAATGGTACCTGTTTATCTACTTGCATTTACACACTGTTGAACTTCTAGGTGGGCAGGAACTAGGACAAGGAATGGGAGCTCACCCCGTTGCTCAGTGCTTGGATCTCAAACTTGGGCTGTCAGCTTTCCAGCTGACAAGCTCAGCATCTTTAATCATTGAGCCATTGTGCCCCTCTGCATTAGATAGTATCAGTGGTGGAATTCAATTTTTTTTACTACCAGTTCTGTGGGCGTGGCTTGGTGGGCATGGCAGGGGAAGGATACTGCAAAATCTCCATTCCCACCCCACTCTAGGGGAAGCATACTGCAAAATCTCCATTCCCACCCCACTCCAGGGGAAGGATACTGCAAAATTCCCATACCTCCCCACTCTTGGGGGAAGGATATTGCAAAATCTCTATTCCCACCCTGCTCTGGGGCCAGCCAGAGGTGGTATTTGCCGGTTCTACAAACTACTAAAATTTCCGCTACCAGTTCTCCAGAATCTGTCAGAACCTGCTGAATAGCACCCTGGGCAGTATCCTTGCCCAAATCAAGCAATGCCTTCCACAAGTAAGAATATCATATTGTTAAGCATAGAGGTGACAGTGCCATGACTAGGGAATATTTTGTGTCGGAAGAAGATGATGATGATGATGATGATGATGATGATGATGATGATGATGATGATGATTATTATTATTATTTGAATTTGTATACCGCCCTACTCCCGAAGGACTCAGGGCAGTGAACAGCCAAATAAAATACATATAATACAAATGTTAAAAAGCATTAAAATACAATTAAATAATTTGGCCCGGAAAACGAAATTTAAAACACCCCATATTACTCTTCTGATTGCCAACTGAACTGAAGCTCAGATACGTCATTCAACAAGATAACAATTCTAGAAAGTGTAGAAGGGATAGGGAGAAAAAACCCCAAATTTGATTTGCATTTGCAAGTCAAATCCATATTTAACTCCCTTGGAAGTGTCGTGTCAGAACCAGAAACAAGCAATTCATGTCAGATAAACACCCAAACATTACTAAATTGTAACTTGTAGCAGTTCTCCATGGAGGAATGATTCAGAATTCCTACAAAATAAGAGAAATAAAAAATAAAAAATAAGACAGGAAGTTTGTGGTTGTAATAATTCCTGCTAAAAGTGTTGTCACCATTATCTAAGAGAATGATTATTTTTTCACACTGACACATCTCATGCTTCATGATTTTGTTCATGAAATAGAAGAAACCAGCCTCAAATATATAAATGTATTATTTATTAATGCAGATTGCTTTTATCTATCTGTAGGAACCATGTAATCATATTATCAATCAGAAAGGAAAGAATTTGGAAAAATTTGACAGATTTTGAATACTCTTCCATAAAACTGAATATCTATATTGCTTCTTGCTGACTGAATAAGATAGCTTCCAATTAAACCATTTCTCAAATTACCTTTTTTTTTAATCTGCAAAAGTGGAGGGAAAAAGCCTTAACTTGCTCAATCTTCTTTTCCAGAAGCAAATGTTAGACAAATATCTATGATTCCTGAGCCTAAAGCATTACCACTCATTCCAGGTCCACAATCTTTATTGAGTAATTTCATCTGCTGCCAAAATCTAGTTACTGTAATTATTTAAAACAATCAGCTAAATTGACTTGAAAGGAATGACATGGCAAAGGACTTAAGAGCAAACTAACTGATGATATAAAATGACACAAGAATGGGGAAGGCCTGTTGTGTTATTATTAATGATAAACTCTCTCCAAGACAAGAATTCCTGTCGCGTTCTCTGCAACCATTTTGAGTTTTCCCTAAATGAAACATTTCTTACTTAAGCGTTTTCTTCATAGTATCAGATAACTCATAGAACTATTTTAGAGCCTACTGGGCGTAATTTTTCTGATATTATGAAAAGGGGGTGTAAACAGTGCTTGCTTAGCACTTATAGAAATATATAAAATACTATCTTAGGGTAGAGAGAGGGGTAAATATGAAAAATCCCCCATCATAGGTAAATACAGAATATACCATACATACAATTCTTTCTGATACTGATTCAGCCCCAAATCTTATATTTTTATGTCACCTCAGAACCACCACAATGTTTTAGTCAAGCTTCAGCAAAAGTTATTTCTTTTCAAGTTCTTCGAAGTTGGACATATTTAGCTTGTCCTGTGACATTTTAGTTACAACATCCCAAAATAACACAATTCATGCTACTTTGGAAATGGGTCATATTGTTCTATTAAGTTTGAAACACTGTGAATTAGAAGTTGTCACCCTTTTAATGCCTTATTTTTGGAGCAAGGAGCAGGGCAAAGAATTCTGTGCCTCCCTACGCAGAAAACTCTCTTTGACTTTTGAATTGACTTTTGAGGGACTGAATAAGGTTGCACTCCAAATTCTTATCTTAATAGTTCCTGAGACTACAGATTTTTAGATCATCAGGGTTACCCTATCTTCCCCATTTACATTCCTAGAAAAATGCTCATGTGTCATGGGGGGAGAGGTGAGTGCAGAGAGACAAAAACCAAGGCTAGCAATTTATGATGGCAGCACTTAGGATGAGTGTTGTCAGTTTAAAAACCTTGCTGATAAAAGTCATACATAAACAAAAGTCAATGAAAAGCATATTCAGAATTGAGGTTGTGCAATGACAGCTGCCTTGAAAACCATTAACTTTCTAGCATTTTGGAAATGCAGTCAAAAGTAGGGAAATGAAAGCAGTGCCTAATAGAAGATATTAAAATGGGGCCGGTGGGTATCACTATAGAAAAAGATACACATACTGTATTAACTAAGTTACTCCCTTTCCGGTGTTGGGCAAAGCGCAGTAAAGGAGTCAGTAGTAGTAAGCCAAAGAAATTAAGGCAAAAACCACATAATTAAATACCATTTACAGAAATACCATTTTTAAAAATCACTCCATAGCTTTCTATCGTTGCAAACTATCCATTCATTCATGCAATCTTTCATATATTGTTTTTTGGCTCTTTAAAATTGTCACCTCTTTCTTTTTTCAGGATCTCATTAACTCTGTCCAAACATAGTCTTCTCCTGCTCATTCTTTTCAGCCTTCCTTATGTTTGTGTTTGACTAAGTCCTTATTCATTTCTGCCTGTGTGACCAAACTGCCTCAACATTCCTCTTTTGTACTGAGTGTTCCCTTTTCGGTTCAGTTCACTTTCACTCAGTACCCATGCAGTCTGGATCCAGTCTTGTTTATCGCATATACTTAAGTATCCTAGTCTAAATGGAATCAGTTCACTTTTCCATTTCTCCTGACAACCTTCATTTGATATAACTAAAGTGGAATGCAGTGTGCTTTTATACATAGATATTCTTGCTTTTTCATCAAACATAAGAGTGATGGTGGCGCAGTGGTTAGAATGCAGTATTGCAGGCTAATTTTGCTAACTGCCAGCAGTTCAACCCTGACCAGCTCAAGGTTGACTCAGCCTTTCATCCTTCTGAGATTGGTAAAATGAGGACCCAGATTGTTGGGAGCAATATATTGACTCTGTAAACCGCTTAGAGAGGGCTGTAAAGATCCTTACTACAAACAGACCACAGGTACCTATTGCCTTTCTGTTAGCATTTGTGAGTCTTAACATTGTTCTATTCTCTATTACCCACCTTTATTAAACTTTCCACCAACAAATCCTCTGGTTTTTTTGCTATTCATGCATAACTTGCAATCATTCACTCTCATCACTCTCATCATTTTTCCTGTGTAGAACAACCATCTTGGTCTCCACTCTTTGATTCTTGCTACAGAAGTTGAGGGAATACAAAGGGAATTTTCATTGCTCATGGTAAATGACTAGTTTCACATAGGCAGAACCATGTATTTCAGGGGTGGGTTCTATTTACCTTTACTACCGGTTCGCATCATGCTCGTGTCCGCGCACACTCTTCTGTGCATGTGCAGAAGCTTCTGCGCATGCGCAGATCACCTATGATGAAGTCCGGGTCAGTGGGTGGAGCTTCCCGCCGGTTTTACTACCGGTTCTTGTGAACCGGTCCGAACCGGGGGCAACTCACCATTGATACATTTACTCTAAGATTGTTAAAACGTTTCATGTGACAAGCATGGAGTTTCACCTGCCGCCTACCACAAGAGTCCTGAAACTATATCACAATGAATTTAAAATTAACTATTTTACTGCATCTGAGTGGAATATTTTATATTTCACACAAATGTCTTATATTAAGTAAAATAAAACTCTATGATTTAATAAAATAAAATTCCAACCAAAACTAAAAGCAACTTTCTTAAATAGAAAGATTGAGCTTATTTTTGCATAACTCCTAAAACCTGGCTTTTGTTTCTGAGAGGGATGCTCTTGTTTTTCATTCTGCATTTACAATGTTTCCGTACTTGCTCTAAATGTAGTAAAATCTGGTTTGCAGTGATAGAATGGTGGAAATGGAATCAATATGGACATAGACTTCTCAATTCTTTTTTGCTCATTGATCCACAATTGAGGGAGAGCTTGCGTAGAGATTTTTATTTCCAAATAATTGTCAGAAGAAACATCAAAAAATTCCTTCTCTTTCGTACTACTGAGTTTACTAGCTATCAGCTTATCATACATGCCTTGATGAACTTGACTAAAATGTATACATCTACAGGCAGACATTCCAAAGACTACTAATTTATTACTAAATGTCCCGCTGTCAAGTTACCAAAAAACTCAGAAATATTTCCAAAGGAAATTGAAGTCAGATATCAGTATCAGTATCTGATAAATATTTTTCAGATATTCAGTAAGTCAGGTTACTATATACTTTGCAGAAATGAGACTTTACTCCATTTTAATTGTGTTGAAAATGCAATCCACAAAATACATTAAGTAAGCTTTAATCAAACTTCTGTCATCAAGATCTTTGACATAAGTTTTCAGTAGATATATTTAAACATTTTATAAAATAAGATATTTCCAAAATTTAAAAAAAAATCATTTCCAAACAATGTTCTATAACACAGATAATGGAAAGCAAGCTGTGGTTGGCAGTTCACAACATGCTTATGCCTTTGTTAAAACAAGAAGGCAATACAAAACCATTTTATAAGTTTGAGGTTGACAATCATGCTAGAGACAACTTAAAAAAAAAAGATTAGAAAGAAAGAGCTCTTCCCTGCCAAGTTATTCACAACACCCCAGTTGCAACTCCCTTAACCTTGAAGAACTGATTTCTGAGGATTTGATGAACCGTATCTTCCTCTCTTAAATTTCTTTTTCTTTTTGCAGTCATGACACATACAGCATTGAGACTTTTTAACTAATATTGGAAGAGTCCTGTTATTCTGCATAAAGCAGCAAATTATGTTTAATCTACCATCAACAAGATTTCTATGGAACGAGAAGGAGGGGGCATGTTCAATGCCTGCTTGCTAAAATGTTAGAAAAGATCAGCTGTTTTTTTTTTCATGGCATCGGTCATTGCTCCCTTAACACAACACCTCTTGCAGTATCTCCATTTCCCAGCCTTCCCCGTCTCAGCAAACAGTTGAAAGAGCACAATGCAGAAATAAATTGCTTCACCCAACAGCTGATGCAGTGAAGATTGATGACTAAGCAACACTCTTTCTACATTCCAAGGCGCTCAACCCTACATTCTTGATCCTGTTGGAATGTTGTTACTCATCCTAGGCTTAATTATATCTTTGAATGATAACTGTTGCTTTGTTTGGGAGTCTCAAGGACCTGGGTCTTTGCAAAAGTTCTTCTAATCCGAGTGTTGCCAGCCTTTGCACATCATAAGTTTGAGTTATATATGTTAAGAAGTTCATGAGTATGATGTTAGGCCCAGAGTTTTAGCAATATAATATTAGGTGGATTTATTCAGAAGGAAGTCCCACTGAAATCAATGGAATCTATTCCCAGATAAGCACACTGAGAATTGCAAGCATTAAAGCTTCAGACGAATGATTTGTCAAGGACTGGAACAATAAATGGGGTTTGCATAACTTATAAATACAGCTGGGGAGTTAGAAGGGACGTGACAATCTACTACTAAATTTTGATACCCTCTTTTTAAAAGTGATGGGAATATTTGGTTCATCCTGCCTCATTTACCTAAATCTCTCTTCTTCGTAGTCACTTATGAAAGTTGCCAGTTTTTTTGTTGACACATCTTAAGGCCTAGTGCAGCATATATTGAATGTGCATGTTTGAGGTTTCCAATGTAGTCAGGAGCCCATGGCAGGTGTGTTGTCTTAATAAGAGCCTTGGTAGAGCAGCAGACTAAAGTGCTGTTAAATAGCACCAGCTGCCTGCAATTACTGCAAGTTCAAATCTCACCAGGCTCAAGGTTGACTCAGCCTTCCATCCTTTCGAGGTAGGTAAAATAAGGACCCGGTTTGTGGGGGCAATAAGCTGACTTTGTATAAAAAAGAACCGCTTGGAGGTGGGGGGCGAAAGCCCTACTAAGCAGGTATATAAAAAAGTATGAAGGCTATTGCTTAACGCATTGTAAGCCGTCCTGAGTCTCGGGAGAAGGGCGGCATATAAATCGAACCAATAAATAAATAAATAAATAAATAAATAAATAAATAAATAAATAAATAAATAAATAAATAAATAAATAAATAAAAATAAATAAATAAATAAATAAATAAATAAATAAATTAAATAAATAAATAAATAAATAAATAAATAAATAAATAAATAAATAACAAACTAACAAACTAACAAACTAACAAACAAACTTGCCTTAACCAATTTCTATTTCTTTTCTTTCTAGGTCAGTTTTCCAGACGTTGAGAAAGCTGAGTGGCTCAATAAGGTGAGAAGCAATTAGCTCAGTTGTTCCTTCCCTGGCAAGTCATGGTTATGTGAAAATACTTACATGACTGATTTTTACTCTGTGACAGATTGTGGCCCAGGCTTGGCCCTTCTTTGGCCAATACATGGAGAAGCTTTTGGTAGAAAATATTGCCCCAAATATACGCGCTTCTAACACCCATTTGCAGACCTTCACCTTCAGCAAGATTGACATGGGAGAAAAGGTAAATTAATGGTCAGCAGAATAATTGATCAAAACATTGGGTGGAAAGTCAGGCATTATAATTACTGTACCCCCATCCTTGTCTGTTTCCCCGTTGTCAAGAGTGTTTCCCCGAAAATAAGACCCTGTCTTATATTTTTTTGAACCCTGAAATAAGCGCTTGGCCTTACTGCCATGCGCTCAAAAGCCCGATTGGGCTTATTATCAGGGGATGTCTTATTTTGGGGGAAACATGGCAGTAGACGTATCACATTACATTCTTTTTAAGCTATGTCAGCTATGTCAGTTTAAGCTGTCAGCTAAAAATAATAGAATATACCAGCAGATTCTATCCCACCTTTCCAATAGTTGCATTCATAAGACATAATAAAACAACAATGTATAAAATAGGAGAGCATTAATCTGAAAAATAGTACAAACTCAATTTAAACGAGCCTTGGTAGTACAGTGGTCTAAAACACCCTGTTATTAACACCAGCTGCCTGCAATTATTGCGGGTTCGAATCTCACCAGGCTCAAGGTTGACTCAGCCTTCCATCCTTTCTAAGGTAGGTAAATTGAGGACCCAATTTGTGGGGGCAATAAGCTGACTTATATAAAATATACAAAAGTATGAAGGCTATTGCTTAGCGCATTGTAAGCCGCCCTGAGTCTCCGGAGAAGGGCGGCATATAAATCAAATTAAAAAAATAAATAAAGATGCAGAGGTATTTCCAAGGCAGAGATTTTTGTTGGAGGGGTATGGGCCACACTTAGCATTTGAATGGCAGGTTGGGAACTGGTCTCCAGAAAGTAGTAAGAGTTACTCCAAAGAGAGATAAAACCAATAAAGCCTTTTGAGTTCAATACAAAAATCAATGAATTGGTTGCCTCTGTATACACACTGAAGCATTGCTGGGGGTGGGTGGGAGTGAAGGCTCGTAATTCTAGATACATGATCATTTATTTAGAAGCAATGCTGCTTTTGTTTCTAGCCCCTCAAAGTCATTGGAGTCAAAGTCCACACAGGCATGAACAAGAAGCAAATCTTGCTGGACTTAAACATTAGGTGAGTTGCAAGGCTGCTAGCTGTCAACTTTGTTTATCGGAGTTGAAATTAAGAAAAATGATTGTCTTTTATGGAATGAATGGCAAATCATGATGATAAACGGTATTTTGGCAGCTGGGCACACAGCACCCTCTTTCCTGGAAGAAAAACACACCTTAACAGCACATTTTGTCCTGATGGAGAAAAATGAACAGCACTGCGGAGGGAAAAATTAACTCCCTGTTCTAGGACAACACCCTTCTGGCCTTTTCTCTTTCTTCCATTAGTGACAAGCTGAGTTGTGGGCCCGGTGATTCTGTCTTTTATTGTATCTTTTTTTTTTTCTTCATTTGATTGCTGTAAGCTGCTCAGAATAATTGAAAATCAGCTGGGATACAGGTTTAATAAATTGTTATGGTTGGTTGCACAGTCAACCAGCTGTTTAGACTGGATTTGGTATTTTTATCCACCTATTAAGTTCTTTCCAAGGATCTGGGATAGACAGATGTTGTTTGATGTTGTTAAAGGTGTCATTATTACCATTGCTGCTGTTGTTGTTATTAAATCACCAATTCGATTCACAATTTGGGACTGGTAAAAACTTAACCGTTCAGGTCCTAACCAAGGGCCTAAGAGCTGTTAAGGTGATGGTGGTTGTTATTGTTATTATTACTATTATTACTACTGCTATGATGATGATGATGATAATGATGAACAGATAGTACTATTTCTCTGTGCAGTAATTGCATTCCCTTTTGCAGTTACTGGTCACTGGATATCTATACAGGTAATCCTAGCTGAATGAGTAATTAGGCCATGCACTTCCATTGCCCAGCCACATGGTCAAAAGTGCTACATCAGATGCCAATTTATGACAACAGTTGTAGCAGTCTCCGTTGCTGTTAAACAAATCCCGCACAGTCACATTGTCCCTCAGTCATGTGATTACCATTTGTGACCTGCTGGCTTTCCAGGAGATTTTGCTTGTGGGGACCTAGCAGTGAATGTTGCAAATTGTGATCATGTGACCAGAGGACGCTACAATATTGTAATTTGCAGGCTGGTTGCCAAGCACCAAAATCGCAATTGTGCAACTGCTGGGGTCTTTACAATGGCTACAACTACAAGATATCATCATAGCTCCCCCCCTCCCCCCAATTTGGCACTATCATAATTAGATAGTGAATTATGGTTATTCAACAATACATATAGTATAGTATGCAAACTATATTCAGGTGGCAGTTATGGCAGGGGAAATAAAAATAGGAAAGCACTGACAGCAGCGGCCTCTGAAAAAGGCTGCCCAGATGGACAGAGTTGAAGGAGATATTGTTTTCCAGACCAATGGTTCTCAAACATTTTGGCTCCAGCAACTGTTTACATTCTAAAAATGATTGAGGACCACAAAGTGCTTTGGTTATGAGGGTTATATCTATTATCAATTTTAGAAATCAAAACTGAGAATTTTAAACTATTCCGTTGACTTCTCAAACCCCCTGAAAGGACCTTCCAGACATCCTTAGACCTCACTTTGAGAATCACTGCTCTTGACCTTTTGTTGGTCCTTTCTTGTGTAGTCTTGCTCCTTTGGCCCCCATATTGCTATTTTTCTCGACCTTTTCCTTCTGTGACAGCTACGTGGGCGATGTCCAGATTGACGTGGAAGTGAAGAAATTTTTCTGCAAGGCTGGCGTGAAAGGCATGCAGGTAAAGTAGTCTAGGACTGAGATCTACATCCTGGTCAAAATTAGCCTTTCTCCCAGGGAATTAGGAAAGTCTACACCTCTGAGCGCCAGATTGAGAAAGGCAAATCTGCAAACTATATCTTATTTCAGGTTTTTAAAGATTAAATAAATTGTATTCCTTCTCCGAACTTGATGTTCTCTAGAAGCTTTATAAAACATTAATAATTCCTTCCCAGGCTGATCTTGGGCAGTAGATATCTCTGAATTAGTTCTCGGTGATGGCATTTATATTTCTGAAAATAGTTTCCCCTCAGAATTCTGCCATTTGCAGAATGATGCAGGAGACCTTTACTTTGGCAACATACTGTATTATTCCCAGCAATTTCATCTTGCCTTTCTTCCTCTTGGATTTTTTTTTTTCAAAAAAAAACATCTCTGCCCATCTGGTGTCTTTTCACCAATCGTTGAAAGGCAGCCAACCAATTCTGGGCATTCAAGAAGGGATTCCTCAGCTGCGTTGAACTCTTTAGAGCAATGTTTTCCCACCTCAGCTACTTTAAGGTATGTGAACTTCTATCCCCAGAATAGAAGTTGAAGTCCACCCATCTGAGGTTGAGAAACAGTGATTTAGAGAGTGAGGGTAAAAGTTAAGCCAAAAGCTAAGTTTTGAGCACTGGAAGGCAAAAAGGGCTGGTGATATTTCATCGATGCCATTAGCTTCAGTTTCCTACCATTGTTGAAAGGAAGCTCAAATCTTGACCTATCCTGTGACATTGTTCCCTCTCCTGTTCGTCAAAGTGAACTGAGTCTTTGTTGATAAGGAAGGACTATCATCCTATGCTTGCTTCAGAGCCCAGAAATTGGGACGTTCATGCTTCTCATTTCCCCTATAGCTACATGGCATGTTGAGAGTCATTCTGGAACCCCTCATCGGAGATGTCCCAATCGTAGGAGCTCTTACCCTGTTTTTCATTCGTCGGCCAGTAAGTATTCTGGCATATTCCTGGTGTTTTCCCAAATTGCCAGTCAATTGTTGTTGTTATTGTTTCACACCCATCTTAAATTTGTGATATTGGGCACCTCAAGCAGCTAAAGCAGACACAAAAACAATAAACAAAATACAGATAAAACAACGAAAGATATAAAATTATTAAAACCAATTAAAACCATCAAACAACTTACAATCCGTACATCACAATCTACAAGTATCTTTCAGATTCAACACATTGCTAGATCCCCAAGCACAATGACAAGTCCATAGCTCCAGATCCTTTCACAAAGGCAGTGGGGCCTTTGGGGCCAATCTAACCTCCATGGGATGATGTTCTAAAAGGCATGTGCTAAATACAAAGAACAAGGAATAGACAAAATTATTTTTAAAAGAAAGCTCTAAAAAAGAAACAAAAACATGCAGGGCATATATTCATACATTACTAATCTATATTGATATGTTATTGATTCATCAATTGTTGGTAACATCAATTTTGCAGTCCACTATATAGTTGGAGCCATCTGTTTGTCTTTGCAATGCTGAACAATACATTGTTTACTTGTAAATAAAGTATAGAAAATCTACTTTCTTTGTCCGGCTGTTAACTCCCTGTGATAGGAATAAAGTTCAAAAGAATATCGACATCTGCAAATGTTGAATCACAAAGTTGAATTAACCCAGAACATCTTTTCCCAAGTGAAGAGTGTTAGACTCTGTAAAAACATATAATAAAATAAAGCAGGGGGGTTAAACTTAAGTACCGTGAACTAAATCCGGCCCGCGGGGTGCTTAGATCTCGCCCATGGGACTGCCCTGGAAATAGCAAAGGACCGGCCTGCAGTGCCTCTGCCAGTGAAAACGTGGCAGCCCCGAGTTCCATTTTCACTGACAGAGGTTTGCAGGAAGCCATTGCAGGCAAAAACGGAGCACGGGAGCTCCGCAACACGAGTGATGTCAACCTGGCCACGCCCCCTCCCCGTCCCTCCTGAGGTCAAACACAATTCTGATGCGGCCCTCGGTGGAATTAAGTTTGACATCCCTGTAATAAAGCATTAGTATCATTGCATTTCCAAAACCTAACCTTACTCAGGCCTTCTCTAGATATAGAAGTAATTTCTGAAATATTATTTTGTGTTGAAAAATTCATGACCTGTTGGGCCATCCTTTTAGGGATATTCCCTTACTAAATTCCCTTAATGCCATGAATGATGATAGAATTTCGAATGTGCTGCCTTCACTGGAAAAGTTGGAATACACTCAGAGTTGCATCTGCCTTGAAAATAGTTCATGTTGAACTGTATAGCACAGTCAAACATCAGCACAGGAAATGTTTTATGACATTTGGTATTATGTCATAAACTGTTTAGCCCACGTTGAACTGTATAGCTAAGTCAAACTCAGTACCAGAAATGTTTTATGGTATTTGATGATTATATCATAAACTGTTTTATGACAATGTTTATGTTATAAATTGTTTTATAAAATTTGCCAAATTTCAGTACTTTGGGAATCATGGGTCTCGGATTTTGGACACGCTCTGTAGCTCATCCCATTTGACATACCTTGGTTCAAAAATTGTTGCCCTACAATGCACTGTTTTACCTGAGTTAAAGGTTACAGGAATGAAAGCTTCAATAGTACACACACACACACACACACACACACACACACGACAGTTATAAAAAGTTAGTTAAAAAGCAAAATAAACGAAAAGGATTTTTAAAAACATTATAAAAAGGGAGGACATCCAGAGTGCCAAGTGTGGTTGATATCTGCATGTGTCTCAGTGATAATGCCAATTTCATGCATCCCTTATCTTCCTACTTTGGTCAATTACCCATTTGACTGATTGTCATCTGCTACTGATTCCTGTTTGTCAGTACCCTACAAAAGTAAGTTTAACAAAGGACAGTGTATTTTGAGTGTTAAAAATGTTAATAATGTTAACAATTGTTAACATTAGTGTTAATAATGTTGTTTTTTCATAGACTCTTGATTATACCCATTCAAATGCCATTGGTTCAAGTGTTGTGGGATCAAGCAATGCTTGTGCATAAATAAAGCCATTTGTGAAGCTTTGGGTTTACATGTAGTAGAGCTTCCTGATAAAACAAATACTGGAAAGTTATATGTATTTTATATAAATTCTATCATTAGACAATCTCTCAAATAATCTGCCACAATACACAGGATTATGAAGAGATTTTTGCAAAACCTTCAATCTCGATTATTTCATTGCTATCAACCCTCTACAGTAGATCTACTACTAACTTTTACATTGCACGTTTTTTCCAGGCTCTGGACATTAATTGGACAGGAATGACCAATCTATTGGACATCCCTGGACTGAGGTAAATTTATGGTGGTCCTAACTTTCTGGAAGGTTATAAGAGAAGCGCAAGAAGGAAATGAACATAACTGTTCTGGAAAGACCTAGAGGTGTGTCGGCCAAAACTGCTTGGGAAGGCATCTTCTGTGAACCCAGGTTGCAGCCCAGCGTGGAGCTAAATGTGTAAGAGAGACAAGAGTAGCAAGATTTTACAGGCTGAAGGAAAAATTTAAAAGAGGAAGAAAATTGAGTTTGTTGAAGGGAGTATTCTGAAAGCAGAACCGCATTGAGAGATATTGGAGGAGCTTATGTTTGCATGAGGTAACTTGTTGAGAGAGCATGATTAGCAGATTATTAAGAAGTAGCATGACCAGCAGGATCTTTTTTCCTCAACAGCTCACTGTCTGACACAATGATCATGGACTCCATTGCCTCTTTCTTGGTTCTCCCCAACCGCTTGCTCATCCCACTGATCCCTGATCTCCATGAAGCAGCTGAACTCCGTTGCCCAATTCCCAGGGTAAGGCAAAATTACTGGTGAGATGAATGTTATTGCTTGGTGAGTTAGAGTGGTGGACGTGATCTTCTTTCTCCCTTCCAGGGCATTGTCCGTGTATATCTAATGGAAGCTAAGAATGTGCAGTCCAAGGATAAGTACATTAAAGGGATGATTGAGGGCAAGTCAGATCCATATGCCATTGTGCGTGTTGGAACCCAAGTCTTCACCAGCAAAGTCATAGATGAAGACCTCAATCCCAAGTGGAATGAAATGTATGAGGTAATTATCTGCCCGATAAAGTGGTAATTTAAATATAAATGTTTAGGGATGCTACACGTCATGTCTAATCTCCCTTCTCATCATAGCTTTTCCATTTCATGCAGTACAACTATCAGTGCTTTCCTTTCTCTGTTGGAAAGAACACTCCTATAGCCTACACAATTAGTGGTATCTGCTCTGACTCCCCACCTCACTGTCCCTACAGTTTGTTGTACACGAGGTACCAGGGCAGGAACTGGAGGTGGAGCTGTTTGACAAAGATCCCGATCAGGATGACTTCTTGGGCAGGTGAGAAGCTGGGTTGGTTTTGGTTTCAAGTCAAGCAGGAAATTGAGACCTAGTTGAATGAGTGATGGTGGGTTGGAAACTGGAACTTCACTGCTGGAGATGATTGGGACAGTATTGTAAAAATTAGAAATAGTTAAAAATCCAGGCTAAAGATCAACAGCTTCAACCCCGCTCAAGAAGTTGGATATATGAGGTCTGCAAAAATCTGACTGTACCTTGGGCCTATTCATTAAAATCCTAGAATTGGTGGATATACCTTTATCAGCATCTTCTTTCTTTTCTCAGGATGAAGCTGGACTTTGGGGAAGTGTTCAGGGCTCGTGTGTTAGAGGAGGTGAGCACTGAGGAAGGAAGATGGCTGATTCATACCTAGAACCAACCATAGGTTGGTTAAACCCAACTACAAGTGTACATACAGTCCAGTGGTGGAATTCAAATTTTTTTACTACTGGTTCTGTGGGCGTGGCTTAGTGGGCGTGGTGTGGCTTGGTGGGCATGGCAGGGGAAGGATACTGCAAAATCTCCATTCTCTCTCCACTCCTGGAGGAAGGATATTGCAAAATCTCCATTCCCACCCCACTCTGGGGCCAGCCAGAGGTGGTATTTGCCGGTTCTCCGAACTACTCAAAATTTCCGCTACCAGTTCTCCAGAACCTGCTGAATTTCACTCCTGGTACAGTCATGAATAGAGAATCTTCAGCTAAATGAAAACAAGGGGATCTATAAAGGCTCTTGTGGGGGGTGGGGCAGAGAATAGGATGGTAGAGAGATTTTAAAAGTGTCATAGAACTTTTATATGTGTCTATAACAACTTGTACCATATATCTTACAAAAGCAAAAAGGTACAACTTGAAGTCCAGAACTATAAACAGCCACAAACAAAAGCATCTTCAAATGTTGCTACAAAATTGTAATTTTAATAGAAGGAAACTCCTAATTAAAGGGAGTATATTCCAATTAACTGAATTGATTTCATTAAAAGCAGTATTAACTTTTGCCCTTTTCTGATATACAGAATGTAGCCCTGCTACATCACTCAAGATCAGAGTTTGGTTTTCAGCCCACCCCCAAAAAAATAACTTCCCTGAGTTATAGGAACAAATCTCTGTTGGTAAATATTAAGGGTTTTTCTATCCATAGAGAATTTCTAATTTGCTTTCCTGACAGTGGTTCCCGTTACAAGATGGGGGCCAGGCTCGTGTGCATTTACGTCTGGAATGGCATACACTCATGTCAGATGTTTCCAAGTTGGATCAGGTGAGTGCAAATACTTAGAGAAGAAACATGTGGTTTAGTGGTGTTTTTGGGGTGGCAATATCTGAGTCATTCCTCTTTGTGAAAATAAGAAGAGTATGCCAAGTTATTGCTTACCCTAATGGACAAAGGACTCCAGAGTCTTGGTTTTTCCTATCTAGTTACTTGAGTTTCTTTTTACTTGGAGAAGCCAAAGATTGGTGAGTCTCAAAGGTTCAAATTAGACTTTTAGAGGAAACTTTCCTTAGAGAAATATACATCATATGAGAACTAGGTAGGATTCTGGATTAAATTTGGACCATGAATTGCAAATTGACATATTTTTATTATTTCCACAAGGCAAGCAGGGTTCTGCGGCTTGGAAGGCATGATGGGAAACTAACTGGGGCGTTGGGGAAATAATCTCGGAAAAATGCCCTGATATGAACTGGTGTGAAGATGAGCACAACTTTAGAAGAAAGTTTAAAATGAAAAATGGCTTGTAAACATCTTATCTTGTTAAGACTATGTTGAGAGCCACAATTGGGTGTCTTTTGTGAGATGGGAGATATGCTATAGGATATAAATATTTTAGATGTTGTGTAAAAATGCTAATTAATGCTGATACATTTCTTATATGCTGTTTGAAGGTTCTTCAGTGGAACAAAACTATCTCCTCAAAGCCAGATCCTCCGTCAGCATCCATCTTGATGATATATTTAGACAGAGCACAAGACTTGCCAGTGAGTAGTCACAAGATAACATTTCCTTCTCAAAAGGTTCCTTTATTTCACCCAAAGTCACTTTTTAATATGAAATGGGGCAGAGCTTGGGTGTGAATTTGAAAATTGATAAGTTTGTCCTATCCCAAAATTGGAAACTCTGGGAATTGCAACAATTGGGAAGGCATGGGCAGAATGATGGGGCAAAGCAGTCACAAGCAAATGTCTTTTTTTAAGCCACTTATTTATACATGAAATTCATACATTACCTCCATTATGTTGGACTCTAGTTAGTTTACAACTATTTATAATAAAAATATGACCATAAATATCCTATTGTGACCAGCACCAGTGTTTTAGCCACAGTGTTCCTCTTTTCTGTGTATGTGTTTTCTTTGTTTATATTGTAACTGATACTTAGAAATCAGTAGTCCAGGTACATAAAAGGTAGACCTGTTCCAATAAACACGAGAGATAAACTTGTAAAAGATGTTAAAGAGCTCGTTGCAATGCAGCTTGCATGATGCAGCTTTGTACAGAAAACATTCTGCCATGTGGCCTAAGTTTGATCACCTTGTAAAATTTAAAGGCCTGTGCATTAGTTAATGTAAGTAGACAAAATTACCGTAACTTCAGGGTTGATCAGCTTATTAAGTCATCCAAGATTGCGTTGAGTTTCTTCTTAACTTAAAGTTCTATAAATGAAAGGTGGGGAGCTTTTTTCTTAGGTATGTTGACCTAAAATTTTGTCAGACTATGTTTCTAAATACATATTCTACTACTGATAACTATATTCATGACAACTTTTACCTCATCTCTAGCCCACTGCAGAAGCAGTTTACCTTCATCTTTAGGTGTTCTGGTATAAAGTTTAAGCCTTTCACATA